CTTCTTATATGTTCGAATAGTGGGTTGGTGAATCTTTTATTTATACTCTGATGGGCTAGATTCTTGTACTATCATTTAACTTGAACATTTCTGCCAAAGTAGCCAAGGCATCATCAATCTACTTTTCTTCTCAGGGAATATGTGAAATTGGATCTCTCTAAAATGTTTCATCAAGCCGATTATATGCTTTTGATATAACATTAGTTTCAGGTCCCTGGTCTCTCATTCGCCTTTTAGTTGATAAATTACCAAGGTTAAATCCCCATATACTTTCAATGTTTTAATATTATTTTCAATGGCTATCTATAATCCCATGACACATGCTTCATATTCAGCAACATTGTTTGTGCAATTGAAATCAACATCGCAGTACAGGGGTAATAATTTCCTTCTAGAGATATTAACATTGCCCTAATCCCATGCCCCATTATATTGGATGCCCCATCAAAAAACATCTTCCATATTTTTCTTACAGGCTATTTGTCTTTATCTTGCAAGATCGCTATCAAGTATTCATCTAGAAACTCAAACTTTATAGGTTTGTAATCTTCTATAGCTTGATCCGTAGGAAAATCAGTTATTGCACTTCTTTTTATAGACTTTTGTGTCATATACACAATATCATATTCCGAGAGTATGACCTGCCATTTTGCTATCCTGCCTGATAGATATGATTTTTTAAAAATGAGGGGATCCAATTTTGATATCAGCCAAGTCATATGATAGAGCATGTACTGTCTGAGTCTACGAGTAGCCAAGCTATGACACATCATATATTTTTTATTTGGTAATACTTGGCCTCATACTCCGTAAATTTTTTACTCAAATAGTAGATAGCATGCTCTTTCTTGTCAATTTTGTCTCTTTACCCTAATACACATCCCATTGATTTTTCTTAAATCGTTAGATATAAAATCAATGGCCTTCCTGCAACTGGTGGTACTAACACTGGTGGGCTTATCAAATACTCTTTAATTTTTTCAAATGCATTTTGGCATTCTTCATCCCATTCACCAGGATTATTTTTACGAAGCAATCTAAAAATTGGATCGTATTTTGAGGTAAGTTAAGATATGAAGCGAAAAATATAATTCAATTGCCCTAAAAAGCCTCTTATTTCCTTTTACTTGTTTGGTGTTGACAGCTCTTGAATGGCTCAAATTTTATCAGAGTCTACTTCTATACATCTTTCACTAACTATAAACCCTAACAATTTTTTAGATTTAACATCAAATGTGCATTTGGCTGGAGTCAACTTGAGCTGGTATCTCCATAATATTTCAAAGAGCTTTATGAGATTAACAACATGATCTTCACCTTATTGAGACTTAGCTATCATATCATTAACAAACACAGCTCTGAATCGATTTAACTAGACCGAATCGAATCGGCATTGATTGAACCGTTGAACAGTTTGGTTTAGGTAATTTTTTTTTTTACAATTTTTCTAATTTTTTTAATTATTTTTTTATATCATTTTAACTTTATCATTATTGTTATTTATGCATGTTTTTAATACTATTAGATTTTATTAGACTAAGTATATGTTGTTTATAATTAATAATAATGATGATAATACTAATAAAAAAAAAGGAGATTTTCTTAAAAAAAAAAACTTTTAATTCCTTTTAACATATATTTTAACACAAATATTAAATACAAATAAATAATAATAATAAATATATAAATTGATTATAAAAACAATAAAACAAGTTTTTCCCTACCTAAATGTTGAAGGTAACTTAATCGTGTTCTAAATAATAATAATTTCACCTAGATGTTAGGGAATTGTTATTATAAAAAATTTTAAATAAGTTAATGATATTTTAATAATAAGTTTTCATAAAAAAAATTTTTTAAACAGTTTTTTCATATAAAAATAAAAAAGGAAAATATGTCTTTAAATTAATTTTCAAAAAAATTATAAAAATTGAACTTACTCCAAAAGTTTACTTAGATATTAAAGATTTTTAAAAAGGTTCATGTTCTTTTTAAATAATAATAAAATAGACCTCGAAATTGAAACCCTAACCCTAAAACTAAACCTTAAAACCCCATAAACCTCGAAATTAAATTCTAAAACCAAAACACCAAGTTTCAAACTCTAAATTCAAAAACCTAAATCTTAAACTTGAAATTCTAACCCTAAAATCCAAATCCCAAGCCCTAAAATCCAAAATCTTAAAATTTAAATTTCTAAAAAACCTTAAATTTAGCACACAATCCCTAATCATTACCTAAAAATTATATAAGCTTTGAAATCTCAACATAAACCTATACCCTAAATCTTTTTTGAAACTTGGATATGTGTGAAAATCTTACATGAAATGACTTGTTTTTAAATACCACCTGATGAGGGTATATTACTTAACATTACAAACAAATTTAGCCATACCACAGTGGGAAAATGCTTAATTTGCTGTGAAGTTGGGTTTTTTTTCTTTTCTGATATTTTGCAAAAATCAGCTAGTTATGATTTGTAAAAGCTTTATATGTAGCATACTTCCATTCTCAATAGCAAGACAGTAGATCAATTGCTATGCAACTAGTCATGTGGATATTGCCTTGTTGAGGATTGAGAGTCCAAAATGATATTTAACCCTCAAATATCAATTATAATTTTGGAATAATAGTACTAATAAACTAACGAGAAAAATGTAATAGTTAGACTTGAAAATATGCCCTAGACATTATCTCCATAATGTAACCTGCATAACCTTTAGGGTACCAAGCATAGTATGACTCTTAAAACCAGAAGTGGGTTGTTTTTAATTCTAATCAGCATGCAAAGGAACAAAGTTTAATCAGAAATTTTATTTTTAATCTCAATGCGGATGCGTCTTTTGCCACCCCATCCTAAGCAACAACATCCATCCCCATGATTTTAAAGTGTGATTAATCCTCATCAATCAGTGAATGGTAGCACATATTCAGACAGGTTAATGCACAGAGTACAGACTACAGAAAATCGTAAAGATCGACTGTTAATTTTCCCGCTTTATGAATAAGTGGCAATAAGACTACATGAGTAGGATATGTGCCACTCACAATGTATTCTACATCAGTGTTTTTCACCAAGGCCACACCACACACATTTGGACAGCGTAACAGTAGTTTTTGATCCCATTGTTTTTACCCTGCTAAAGTTTCATCAACTACAAGATTCCCACTTCTATAAGTAAAAATTCAAGTTCACAAACACTGATAGCATCCACCAAGGAGCTAACGTTTTAGTTTCCTGTTGATGGTAGTTTTGTGTGGATGAAGTCCCCATGAATAAAACATGGTTCCTAAATAACATGCAACCATTGGAATGATCTAGTCAGTGAAAAATGGATGCTCTATGTCCCAACTACTCGTCCTGATTGATGCAATTTCTCACTTTTCATCGCAAGTTAATTTAATGGGATGTCAGTATAGTAGTTTAACACTTACCCTTCTATGTAATTAACTTGGACGACAACTTCAAGTGAAATTGGCTTGAATAAACATAAGAAAATACTTATGGCTACACGTAATCATCAAGAAACATTATTTAATTTCTTCACATATGCACATCATATCAATTTGTCTTTTGTTATTTTTTTTCTGATTCCTCAAAAGTAGCTTAAAGTTGCCAATTCGGTTGAATTTCAACATATTAAAATGAAAAACTAAATGAAAATGACATAATTTAAGCTTTAGATTTCCAATTCCCAAGATTTCAAGTTTGCTAACAAAGCAATACCCAAGCAGAAATCTCTTGTTTGAATTCCTGGAATTGGAAATATGAGTAAATACATTGATAGACCAATAAAAAGAAGAGAAAAAGGGAGCCCAAAGAAAAGGATATATATTGAAGTGCCAATATAAAAAAAAAATCTTTTAAATTGACGAAAATAAAAAATGTTGTTCATAATATTTGTAAATTATCATTTTAAAATTTTATTGTTATAAATATTAATAAGAATTATCCAATTTATAAATAGGAACTCTACTTTCATTAAAATATTTTCTTTAAATAAATTTATTTGAAAAATAAAAGTGAGCTAAAATTTATATTAAATTATTTTTTCAAAGTTTTAATTATACATTAACATTAAAAGTAACAAATTTTATGTTAATGTGATGTATTATGTACATAAAACAAACTTTCATATGAACATACATTTTATTAATTTCATTTATTAATACAATATATAACCATATACTAGATATATAATATTTAAAAGTAATAAATTTTATGTTAATTTATTATATGTTGCACTTAAAACAAAATTTCTCATTAATATGCATTTTATTAATTTCAAAAATTTTACCATCATATTAATTTTAAATATTTGTACAACATACAACTATTTATTTAATATTAATAAATACTAACGTGAAACGTAAGTGATTACAAAAATTAATACTAAATCAAAATGCAAAATTTTTTATTGGTTAGGGTTGATCTCCCAAAGTTTGGACAACAATTAAGTAATCTTTCCTTACAAGTTAGACATGAAACTAAAGTCAACGAGGTTAAGGAAACCAACGGAAAAAGACAGAAACTAAAAGGAAACAACAACGAAAAGCAAAGATGCCCCAAAAGACAAAAACCTTGAGAAATTTCTGGCTGTTTTTTTTTTTATCCCATCTTCATAGTAAGTGGTTAAACCAATTAAAAAAAAAAAAAAGCCGAAGTTGAAAAGCCCAAGGGCAAAGATGGCCGCACGTCTAAAACTTGGGTGAATGTAAGTCCACGGTCCTACCTTATTTTTTCTCAATACATTTTATTTTTAAAAAAATTATTTAATTATTTTTTATTTTAATTGTAAAATTTTCATATTTGCATTCTGAAGGCTTTAAGAAAATTACATTTAAGTTAAAAAATTAATTAAAAAATATTTTATAACAATTTTAAATTTTTAAATATATAAATTCAAAAATTTTTAAATGTTTGTCGATTCGTAAATTTAAAAATTTTTAATTGAAAAGATATTAAAAAAAGTAATTAAATAATTAAAAAAAATTGTGAATAAAATCTCTCTAACTTTATGCGTGCCTTGAGCAGTAACAAAAGGAGAGACAGAGATAATACATCGGCAGCTTAAGAAAACACAAAAGAGAAGGGTGAAAAATCAGGAGAGAAAAGAAAAGAGGCAAAGGGAGACGAGAGAGAGGGTATTACTTCCATTTAATTTGGCTTTGGCTATATCTCTTTCTCTCTTTATCAGTTTTCTCCTTCTCTTTGTTTGAGAGTTGAGAGACCTCTCTCTCTTCCCTTCCTCAATCTTCAACAAGGTATATCTCTCCTTTGTAACTTCAAATTATGTTATTTGGTCTGTGTTTGATGAAAATTACCTTTTTGATCAGGTAATTTGGTTTTTTTTTTTTTTATATTTTGGGTCTTAATTTGGGTTCTTTAAAGTTTTGGTTTTTAGTCTGTCTTGGAGGATTAGAATCGAAAAAAGTCGTGCCTTTCGTTTTCATTTTTTTGAATTTTATAAAACCCTAAACTTGCTTGTGGACTGATCAATGGGGATATGGGTAACTTGAGGGGGTTTGAATATTTTTTTGGTTGCTTGCGTATAAGCCTAGGAATAAAAATTTTGGAACTGGCTCTTTGACTTTGTTGTTCAAGGTTTTAGTCACAGTTCTGTTATATGATTTTCGGCCCCTTAAAGCTGAAAACTTTGGTGTTTATGGAAGAATGTAAGTAATTAGAAACCAGACTTTGAAGTTTGTTGATCTTAGGAAGTGATCAGAAGGTGTCTAGTTGGATGGGGTTGAGTGATGATGGATTACTGCTGCTTTCTCTAGGTTTAAACAATTTTTGTGTTGCCACATGTGTTCTAATTGGTCCAGACTGTTTTCTTATCAACATAAATATATTTTTGTTGTCATTTGGTTGCGAAAATACAATGCATAGGTTGATGTTTTGTATCAATGTTTGTGCTCAGCATATCTGGAGAATGGAAATTAGCTTGTATTTCTGCATGTCTGACCTAGAAAGATATTTTTTTTAGGTTAAAAATGGAATTTGAGTTCTTGCAGTTGCAAATGGATTTTAGTTATATGAGCAATATGCTTACTGGAGCTTTTGTATAAGAAATTATGAATTTATTACTTGAGGCTGTTTATATCATTTTGTTTGAACTTATTACAACCTCCAGATGTTTATAAATACTGTTGGATGTGCTTTTAAGTTTTTTGGTAGGAACATTATAGTGGAACATGAACATGTTCATTGTTGTTATGATGAGATGAGACTAGCACTAATCATTCATGGATATTGCCTAAAAGGATTTCAAAACTCTTCTCATGATCCCATGCAATTGTTAATGCCAACTTCTTTACTGGCTATTGAAATGGTGTCTAATTGATTTCCTGATACTGAATCTTAGATACTCGTCAAGTGGTGAGAGCAATTAGAGTTGGAACAGAACGTAAAGAATATTGCCAAGTATCCCTAAGCATTTCACTTGGTCAGAATTTTTTTAATAAATTTGTTTGTTTTGGTTTTAGCACTAATGACATCAGCTATGGCGTTTCATTTTGTTTTTCTTATTGTGGGTTATAACTCAATTTCTTTGCACTGCTTTTTTTCTTTTTTCAAATATTTCTGGCAGATCATTATGTGCCATGGAAAGTTTCCTGACTTACCAAATAGGATATAGTCTAGTTTCTGCCACCAACGTGATTAATCCTTGATTCTGGGTCCAACTAAGTTTTTGCCTAAACTGTAAGGAATTTTTGGTTGATGAAAATAGTTTTTTTTTTGGTAATTGATGATGATATTTTCTTTATGCTTCTTATTGTATCTTTTCCTCTGCATCTTTTTTCATTTCCCTCAAACATGTTAGAAAATCACAGACAAGAGCTGGCTTGTACTTGTCATCATAATTGTATTTGATTTTAGGACCCTTCATCATCAATTTCGGCAAATCTGTTGAGAATAAATAAGCTAGCTATCTTATATAAAAAGGATATTTTTCAAAAGGAAACCGCCTTTTTTTCAGATAAATGAGATTACCATCTTGTTTATTTTTAATTTTTTTTTTACATACAAGAATTCCAGAATATTCATGCATTGCACAATTGACATAATGGCCATTGGCATGTGGAATATTCTAGGAGATTTGCATTTAAGCATCATATGAAACTAAAATCATTGACACTGTCAGTTTCATTAATCCGGTGTCACTCCACTGGAATGTGGGGTATTTCTATCCTTTGGTGAAAAAGGTAAATTGTTTTTGTCACAATCAAAATTAATTCTGGTGAAATCTGATTAAAACTGCCTCTTTGAAACATTTGTCAATTCTCCCATTCATGATTTTATTTATCCTCTATTTGGGGCTTTAAAGATTTCTCATTTTCAGATTATGTGTTATTTATCTCTCTTTAATTTATGGTAATGACAGACAAATTGATCATAAAATTAATTAGAATGCCTTTTTCATGTGTCTGGGCAGATGGTGTTGAGTTTGAGATTGAATTCCATCACAAATGCCATTAGTACTTCTCTTGTTTGTACACTTCATATGTGTAACAGCTCTGCTGCAGCCTCTTTGGAAGTACAAAGGGGAAGGACAGAGAGCAGAGGAAGAGGAGAAAAGGGGAAAGCAGAAGATAAGGCTCCCCATGTTTTATTTGCTTAAAAAAGAAGAGGGAAAGGAGTTTGGTATTTTACTAACCTAGTTTGGCTGATGAGTGGAAAAGCATGGAAATGATAACTTACATTTTCTTCTTAATTATATTTTATATTAAATGGCAATTTGTTGCACCAAAAAAATGGCAATTTTGTCTGTGCAAAACAAAACTTTTGATGAAGAATCCATTCTGTGCCATTAAAATGTTTCTCAAACAAGGGAGAGGGTACCATTCCCCTACCCTTTCTTTTCCTGCTCCAAAATCTAAACAAACCTTTTTGTTTGTTATAGATGGGGGTGTAGAAGAAAATAAAATAGAGATAGAAATTTTCATTGATGGCAACCTACTTCAATTTTGGTGAAAGCGTCCTTTACTTAATTTCTTAAGTAGGTTGTTGTATGGCTGTTTTTCATGGAGAAGAGAATGCAAATATTTGCTGATTTCACTTTTCCATGTGCTGTTTTGTTTCTGTTATTTCTAGTGAATTCTTACATAGTAATGACGAAACTTATTTTTGCTGTTCCATTAAATATAAAAGATTATTTCTGCCTCCTATAAGAGTTTCATTTTGTTTCTTCATTACAGGCATCTGTGTGGTCAGAGGAACATGGGAAGCACTGGTGCTGATAACGTTCCAAGAGTAACTGAAACTGATGGTGCTGAGACCACAATAGAAATAAAAATAAAAACATTGGACTCTCAGACTTATACTTTGAGAGTGGATAAACAGGTAAATTACTCACTCTTTTTTGTCATGATCGAACCCCAGTTCTGATAGTGTATTTGTGTTCGATTGAGATGTGGCTCAGTTAACCAATTACAATTTGTTAATGCCTATGGTACTTGGAAGTTCTTCTGTCCAGCTTTCTTTTGGCAAATCTTGGACTTTGCATAAAATCTTTTCTTCATTTCTTGAACAGCTTGAATTGGTACTGTAAGCATGTACTCTAGTTTTGCTATTAGCAGTTAACAACAACGTTGATATGATAGCTTCCTAAAGTTACCATCTAGGAAGCACGGATACCGACACAGGATACAGATATGACACAAGAGACACAGCAATACGGCAATTTTTAAAAAATTAGGACATGACACAGCAGGACACGCCAATTAAAAAATCATAAATATACATTAATATGTATATATTATATTAGTTTGTTAATTTTGAATGAAAAATAACCAACAGTTCACTAAAATCTTCTTTTAAAAAAATATTTTGCAGTTGCTAAATTTTATGATAATTTATAATTATATTGGATTATTATAAATAAATCTGGCCCAATTAGCTCAAAATATTACCAATCCAACCCAACTCAATATGTTATTTGATCCGTTATAATACCCTGTTCTCTTTCTTTAATCAAACTCCTATTTGACCCATATTCTCTTTCTTTTTAAACCAGCGGCTGGTCGTGGTTGAACAGAGAGCCATTTATCTTCTTCCCATTTGATCAGCTCCATCTGGGGCTAAAAGAAAAGGAAGATTGCTTTATTCTCATGTTTCCCTCTCCTCTTTTATTTCTTTTATTTCTCTGCTGAGTAAACAATGAGAATAACCATTTGTGCCTTCACCGCTGGTAGCCAAAAATGTTTTAACCTTTCATTGCCATGTCCACACCATATCCAAAATAAAAATTTTGTTTTTCTAATTTTCTAAGGTGTCCAGTCAGATATGTATCCGGGTGTGTCGTACACATGTCCGTGTTGGATATGTATCCAACACGAATACGTTGAGGTTGTAGCCGTGTTGGTGCTTCATAGGTTACCATGCATTTTACTTAATGGAATCTGGTATTTTATGTGGGTAGTTGAGGTTTTCTAATCTTGTATGTTTTAATTTCCTTCTGATTGGCTTGCCACTAATACTAGTCTATTTGTTCTAGATTTTACATGAGGAATTGTTTAACATTTGTGCTTCAATTTGTTGTTTCTTGTCTCTGAATATCATACAGATGCCAGTTCCTGCTCTAAAAGAACAGATTGCTTCTGTAACTGGTGTGTTATCAGAGCAACAACGATTAATCTGTCGTGGAAAAGTTCTAAAAGATGACCAACTACTTTCTGCATACCGTATCCATTTTCTTTTTAATATTCGTATTCATTTGTAAAGTAACTATCAGATTTTATTGAATTTCTTAGGTAAGAAGTTGTTCCTTTTTTATTTATTGTCGCTACTGTTTTCGGGTAGCCATGTATTATTGTTTACAATGTAACTAAATGTTAATCGGTTTTAGACATACTTTTTTGTGCCTGCTAATTATTGGTTGCTGAATAGAAACTGGGATTGCATTCTGGATTTTTGCTTTATAATTATCTGTTCTCATTTAGAATTTGAGCTGCGTTTCTTAACTTGAGGTAGATGTCGAGGATGGTCACACCTTGCACCTGGTGGTCAGGCAACCGGTTCCACCATCATCTGATGGCTCACCTAATCATTCAGGTTTTGCTACTTTTAGGATCCATTATCCTTATTTTTATTTTGGTACAAAAATTGCATGAACTCATTCCTTTCAGAAAAGCAAAAAAAATTACATGGGCTGTATGCTCCAGTTTTATTAAAGCAAAAGACTTTTTGTCCTTTGCTAGTAGCTTTAAATTTGATGGATTACTGGTATTGGACCTAATTAATGCTTGACATGTTTGAAGTGTTCAACTCAATATGCAATTCCTTACAAAAGCTAGTTTTCTTTACTGTTTGCCACATACATTTTTGAAACAAAGTGTTGGCCAGTAAAGAGTTCTATGTTCTGTATTATTATCTGTTGGGCATAATATGTGGTTTTGCAATATAGGGCATGCCTCCTCCTCCACATCCCCTCCCCACCCACCCACACACGCGTACACAATTTTCCTTTTTCATATGCTTACTTTCATGTTAGTGGTTACGAAAACTTCCATTTGATCATTTAACCTTGGTCTGGCAAGTGCATGACCTCATAAGAAACATCATAGGCTTTATAAGAAAGTCCTTTGATTGGTGTTTCTGCAAATGTTAGAAGAAACATGTGTAAAAGTACCTGCCCACTAATCTAGCTTCTGTAAGGTTACTTATACTTATTTCCTTATTGAATTATAAAATTGAAATTTATGAAAGAATGCCAAGCAAGTAGAATCATAATAATTTCTTCATTTTCTTTGCTGTTTTTGAAACCTTACAGGACAGAAACACTATAGCAACCTTTGTGGTTTGCACCTAAAAACAAAGAATTCTATGCTACTATTTTTGTTCTATATGGTAGAGCATCAAATGTTGAATAATTAATAATACCTATGTTCAACAATTAATAGCTTTTGAATATTACACAAAGACTTTTTATAATAATATTAAACAATGAAGACTATTTGTCCAACCAAATATCATCTAAATGGACTTGTTGACTTCTTGTTGTTCGGTACTAGACAGGATTACACCTTTTAAGCACCTTTTATTGCTCAGATTTTTTTTTTCTTGAGGAAATAATCATTCCATCCTCAGCACTCTTACGTGTATTGTGACTTGGAGGTCATGGTTACAAATTATTGCAACAGCCTGTGAAGCGGGGGTTAATGCTGCCTACATTTGACTCTCCCAAGGGCCATGGTGTGGGAAACTTGTGCACTGTTTTTATTATGTTCAGTTAAACTTTTAACATGTAAATTAAATGGTTACTTTTTAGCTTTGGTAGTCTTGTAATAGCTTATATCAATAGGGACAGGTATTAAGTTTTGCCTTGAAAGCCTTATAGTTTGTATATTTCTCCCACTATTAGTAAGAAATTTAACAAATTATACATTCTAATTCTTCCTTCTTGCTTATTAAAGTGTACATCATCAAATACTCAGAGGAAAAGTTATATAGATGATCGGATTTTTAGTTTATAACAAGATTATAATGCTCACTTTGCTCATTATACAAGTTGGTTGTCCCCAACAAGATTATACAAAATCAGCCTACATGTTCTTCAGTTTCAGTTGCTGTCATAATGCTCACTTTGCTCTCTTTAGCCCCTTTGTAGTCCTCTGACAATTAGCGAGGAGCTCACATACCGGTGATGGGTGAATCAGTGAGATCATAAGCATGTAGAGGGACTAATTATTTTCACTAAGCCACCATTCTTTCTTGACCAGAAAAGAAATAGAAATTCATTTAAGAGCTAATCATGTGCAAGCTACTAACTTTTTCAGCTTATTTTTTTGGGGCCTCAATCAGCTCCTATTTTACTTTCAGTTCAGCTATTGGTTTAACCTGAAAAGAACTTAAGTCTTTATTTGTTAATGATAGTCTGAGTCTATTATCCTTTTTTGTATGATGTACACATGCAATATGAAAGTGCTATCTTAGCATCTTGAAGTGGCTGTAGAATATATTGGGACATAGTGTCAATACACTCACCACAAGAATGCTATCAGAATTGTGACTGAATAACTGTGTAACTTGCTTAGTTATGCTCTCTATGTCCTGCATATTTTCTAACCATGCAATATCTCTCATTTTCGAAGTTATAGCATTCTGGTTAAGACTGGGGCAAAGTCATAGAAATGTGGTTAATATATTTTTTCACTACGGAAATGCTATCAGAATCATGACTGAATAACTCTGTAACATGCTTAGTTATGCTCTTTATGTCTTGTACATTTTCTAATCATGCAACATCTTTCATATTTGAAGTTATGGCATTCTGGTTAAGACTGGGGCAATATCTATAATCAAAAAATTATTGGACAACGTTTCCATCAACTTTGTTGAAAATGTTGCCTTTGCGGTAGAGACACTGGTAGTATCATGAGTGGAAGAAAATGAGGTTTTCCAGAAGCAATGAGGTTTGTTGGGATAAGATGAAGCCTTTTTTATGTGTATCCTTTTGAGGGCTTGAGGACTTCTAACTGTTTTGCTCGCTGATGTTGACTGACATCATCTTATTATTTGAGTTATCCAAGAAGTGTTCTTAATATATATATTTTTTGATAATATGTAATACTAATTTGTTGTGCATTGCATATGTTTCTAGAAAGGGGGAACAGAGCCCGTTCAGATTTAGTTATTAACATTTAGCATTATTATTTGCAGCAAATGATCCTGGATCAGGTACAAGCCGTGGTCATAGTAATCATGTCCCAAGTGTTGTGATAGAAACTTTTAATGTGCCTGATCAAGGAGATGGAGTTCCTCCTGAAATCAGTCGGGTAAGTTTGCAACTGGATGTGATGGAGAATATTTTTACAGGGGAAATATACTTTTTTACTATGATTTCTTAATTTTAATTTTCTTTTATCCTTCTGAGCAGATTGTCTCTGCCGTTCTTGGCTCTTTTGGATTTGCAAATATGACAAGTGGCAATATTGGGGGTGATGTCAGGGTAAGTCTTAATTTTTCAATTTTCAAAACGTAATGACAGTTATTTTAATAGTTGAACTTTTCTTAGTTTATTGTTGCTCTGATATATAATGAAAATATTTGTGTAAGCTTTCGACTGCATTGGCATATAACAAATAGCTTAAAAAAGGGATCCACGAGAGTCAAAATTCAAAATTCTAGTTTTCAGAGGTCCATTTGAGGCCATGGATTAACAGGATCAAATTTTGACAATATCTTAGAGATCTTGGAAAAGTTTGGTTTATGTTTTTCCAAAATTGAAAGGTTTTAAGATGTTGTAATAGCTGTATTCATCTTTATGCTTGCCTATATTCATATGAACTTACTTCTTGGGTGTTGTTGGATACCAAAGGAACATGGTTCACAAAGACTGGAAAGAACATCTGGTGGTATTGGCATGCCAGATTCATCTCAGGCTCAAACTGAACAAGCTAGCATGAGTCAATCTGATAGAGCACATAGTGCTTTTGGACTTCCAGCAGCAGTTTCCTTGGGGTCTCTGCAGCCTCCTGTGAGTTTGGAATACCTTACTTCTTACTAATTTGTCTCTCTTTTTATGGGCCCAGTGGATATGCTATTCTGTATGAAATAAATCTTATGGCATGCCTATTTTTGTGCTTAAGTTATTATATTCTTCATGTTGTTCATATTTGTAGGTAATTCCTGATTCTTTGGCTACTTTGTCTCAGTATCTGAGTCATATGAGGCATGAATTTGATGGCATGGGTTAGTTTTCCTTTGTCAAAAAATGTGATTATATTATCTATGTTAGTTACTCTAAAGAATACTGTTTCATTGATGATATGCAACTCATTTGACTGCCAGGTAGAGCTGGGGGAAATGATCCTCAGACAGCTTCCATGAGCAGGACTGGAGATAGAGATTCTAACCCTGCATCAAATTCAGGGACTATACGGGAAGGTCTTCCAACACCTGCATCTTTGGCAGCAGTGTTACACTCTACCAGGCAAATGCTCATTGAACAAGCTGGAGAATATCTACAAGTGTGTCCTTAAATACTTTTTTTCTCACTTTCTTAAAGTTTACCTGTATATGTGACAGCATTCCTTGTTGATTGAGGTGTGAAGAATTGGCTTGTGGAGGAAAAGAGTGTATGGGTGGGGGAGGGTGTTGTTTGTCATGGCCTTGTAGATTTTTTTTCCTTTTTGAGTTCTCAATATTTTGTTTTATTATGCCTATGGGCAGCAACTTGCAAGGCAACTGGAGGATCAAGGAAATGTGACTGACCCCTCGGCACGGCTGAGTGCACAGTCGAATGCATGGAGAACTGGCATTCTACTACAGAGCCTAGGCTCACTTTTGCTTGAGCTTGGTCGTACAACCATGACACTACGCTTAGGTCAAACACCAGTAAGATAATTTCAGTCTAAATCCATGAGATTTAACTCTTTTTGACATCATTTATGCTCTATGTTGCTATATCTTATTTCTTTTGCAGTCTGAAGCCGTTGTTAATGCTGGACCTGCAGTTTTCATATCCCCTTCTGGTCCAAACCCTCTCATGGTTCAGGCAATGCTCTAACAGCTTATCCAAAACCTTCTTATTTGATGTAAAGGATTTTTAATTTGTGCTGATTTATCTGTATTTGTTTAGGCTTTTCCATTTCAACCAGGAACTAGCTTTGGTACCATCCCTATGGGAACTGTGCAGCCTGGATCTGGTTTGGTTAATGGACTTGGGACAGGGATTCTTCCTAGGCGTATTGATATACAAATACGAAGAGGTGTGTTATATGGCTACTTTCTGTTGTTTGATATGAATTACTTTCTTTCTGGCCAAAGACTGATAGTGTACGTACCATAAGGTTCATCAATGGCAACACCCAATATAATTCAAGAGGAATCTCCCCATACCACACAACAAGGCCAAAGGAACCCATCGATGGGTTCTGGCAGTGAGAATCGTAGCACTCAAACAACTTCAAGGGTCTCAGATGCTCCATCTTTTGCTGGAGAATCAGGAGTGAGGGTAGTGCCTATTAGAACAATGGTTGCAGCTGTACCTGCCCCCTTGGGTCGCTTACCTTCAGATTCTTCTGGTAATTCTGTGGGATTATACTACCCATTGCTTGGAAGGTTCCAGCACATCGCTCCTGGACATGTGAGTGGTGAACGGGGATCTCAAGCATCTGGTGAGCATCTGTCCCCTGGTGCTCAATCTGAGCAGCATCCTATTCCTGAATCTGCAATGCAAAATCAAAGTTTGGAAGAGTCTGCAAGAGATGGTAATATGATAAATCCTGCACCTCAACATACTAGTGAGGTTGGATGTTCTCATATGAATAAAACTTGGTGTTATGCACTTGTATTTTTTGTGACAAAACTTAGAACCATTTTTTGTTGATATTGTGCTATTGGAAATTATTGTTCAATGCCACTCCTACCGTGGTGGGAGCCTTCTGCGTCCCCATGTGGAAAATGGGCTTCCTTTATTCATAGTGCTGTACTTTCCTCAATGATGTCCGCAGGTTGTTTGTTGTTCCTTTTTCCTTTTTATTTTATTCATAGTTTTTAAATTTCTTATTGAGAAAACTGTTTTATTCATTGTTTTTAAATTTCTTATTTAGGAAACTGTTTATGTGCTTCCCAAATTTCCTCACAAGGTATGCAAAAAAGCTGTTTGGAAAATACATAACTTCTAGTCCTTTTATCTGAGGACAACTTTCTTTCTTCTTCACATTTTAAGGATATTACCAAGTAGCTCGAATGCTACATCATTAATATTACCATACACATTTCCATGTTGCTTCATTTTGCCACATCTCTTCTTGTTAGTTTCTGCAGTTTGAAAGATTCTGTGTCAATTGACCAAAAGATAAGCCAAAAGAGAAAAAAGATGGAAAAGAAAAGGTGAAGTTGACCAAGAGGGATACCTTTCAGGAACTGACCACTAAATTGCTTCTTGTTGTAGGTTTATTACCAAGTGCTAATTCTAGACAACAGGAGCGAGCCAATACACGCAGTGTCAATATCAGCATTCTAGCAGCTGGCAGGACTCCAAACAACCAGGACTCTGAGAGACAAATTCCTAGTAGTATTCTTCAGTTTCTTAGGGGAATTTTCCCTGGTGGTGAAATCCAGGTAGAGGAAGCGAGTTTACAAGGAACAGCTACAGATTCTGTCCAGGAGCAAGCGGGAACATCCGGTGATGCTCCAGCCTCTGAGCCAAGAAGTACCGATCAAGGGGTATTTTTATCAAATTTGCTTCATCAGATCATGCCATATGTATCTCAGCATGCGGGTTCACAACAAAGTACTGTGCCTACAGAAGAAGCAAATACTTCCACCCAGGTAAGCATGCTTCTTGTCCTTGGTTATTTTTGTAGTGGCCACATTTGTAAGGTCTGACCCGCGGGCTGCTTGTTTGTTTGAGTCTTGCTAATCCTTTCCATGATCTAATATGGATGAAGAGTTGATGAAAGTATAGCAATTGGGATAAAATAAAATATAATGTTAAAGTCAACAATAAGGATGCTAAATGCTGCAGTATTTGCAGGCTGAGAACTCTAGTACTGGGAATTCACGCAGAACAAGTGACTCTGAACCAAACCCACCAAACTCAAAACGTCAGAAGGTACTGGTTCTGAATTTATATTGTCTCATCTGTCTTCTTCTTTTGCCTTTTATCATATTCCCCATTAACTTTTTCTTGTGTCTCACTTAGAAATTATTGAAAAGACCTTGTAGATTAGTCCATCTGGTAATTCAATTAACAATGTTCTCTTGATTATTTCTTTCTATAGTGCGTCACATCTGCCTGATCTCTGTCCTGTTTTTTATTTATAATATATGGAGGTTGTGGGCCATGAATTACGTCTATATGGTATTGCATATTAGAACATAAGAAGCTTGGTTAAGGCAGTTTAGATGTGTTTGCTTGAATGGTACAAAAAACATTTCATAAATAACTTGTCAACAGCAAGATTGTTAGTTTGACAAATTTAGTATGAATTTCTGATTATTATCACTACCTTATCTTTTAAGCTCTTGAATAGTTAAAAGATTTTAAGCATGTAATTATTATTGTTTTGAGTATAGAACAATTAAAGACACAGATCGGTGTATTTCTAGACAAGCTAACAACTGAAAATGCTGCACAATTTATATGAAAGTCTAAATATAATATTTGAAACAGCATGTAAAAGAGGAATATTTAAGGTTAGTGGAGTCAGCAAAAATTAGCATGGTGAGATATATTCACTTTGATATTTAAAAGTGTATTTGTCTAAAATTTGTTGCAACCGGGTTTATTCTTTAGATGAATTCCAGGAGTTCTTTCTTTCGAGTCAATGTAGGTACTGAAAACATGTACATAGAATGCAAGCATAGTCTAAGCAATACATTGTAAAATTTTATTCCATGGAAGAATATGAAAGGTGAGTTGGATTGGGTGTTAGATGTAATGACGAGTCTGGAAACATTTTTTTTTGGAATATCAGATGTTAACTATTTGTCAATCACATACCGAGGAAATGGCTTTTTGTTGCAGACGGAGTAACATTTCAAGAGATGGAGGATTAAACATCTTGCCATGGTTATGAAATTCGTGATTGCTTCGTGGTATGAACAGCGGCATGACTTTTAATGTTAAATGTGATATACCATGGTGTTTTTCTTTTTATTGCAAATGAGAAATGATATAGGGAATGTGTTGGTACAGCTTTTTGGGTTTTTGAATTGTATAACGTTGTAGTAATTATATTTCTTTTATGGCTTTGAAATGGACTTTACCTTTCTTTCTATCCGCATCAATCATCTGGAGCATCTATGGCTTTCCATTCCCTACTTTATTTTTGTACATACAAAATTGCGTCAAAAGCAGTATCTCTATTTCATTTTAATCTCTAAGCTCGTTAAAGGTAGAACTGTAATGTTATGGGGAGATCTTGCTTTTAACCATATATATTTTGAGTGTCAAATATCAACCATGCAACCATGAAGAAAGCCTCTCTACCATCTTGCTTTTTCTTGACCTTTGTAATGAAAAATCCAGCGTCATTTATGACTTGGCTTTGGCTCTGCCCGAAGTGCTGCTAAACTTTCTACTCTAATGCAAGTAATAAAGAACATCTTTGGGGGGGGGATCTACAAATTAAACAGTCGTTTATATTTTAAAATTAAAACCCTAAATGGCTCAAAAGTTTAGAGAAAGGCTAATTCATTCACTGCTGTCATCTTTTACTTCAACCTATGTATAAAAATCCAACATAAAATCTAATCAATTGCTAAAGTTTTTATACCCTTTTCAAGTAAAAAATGTCAAAAGGAAAAAGAAAAATCTTTTAAGAAATTAGTATTATATTATTAGGTTAGTAGAAATTAGGATTGTAAACTAAAAAAAGATAAATAATTCATGAATAAGTTTAATTATTGTTTATTTAGTTATTAAATTTAATAAATAATTATGAATAATATTTTAAATTTTCTTAATTAAATAAATGAATAATGAACATAACGAAATTTGATTATGTTTAATTTATTTATATAAAAAAATTAACAAACAAAATGTTTCACAAATAATTCATAAATAGACTCAGATTTTTGTTTGACGTTGTACGTAAACGGCCTTCTCAGATTCAGGTACCAGACAGGTGCTTCAAAAAACTACTTTGTCTGGTGTCTTGTCCTAAAATCCAAATTTTCTTCATCTCTAATCAAACTCTTTTTTTTTAATAAATATTTGTACATTTTTATTTAGTACTATCGTTTATACTTCCCATAATTTGTTCCCAGATCACATTTTCTTCTTCCTTTTGAATCACATCCAAAAAGTTTAGTGTTGAAAGAGTTTCAGATTTGGAAGATCATTTTTTTTTTCACAATGCAATTTAAAACCCTGAGCATAAGCTCCAGTGTTCACCCTTTTCCCAACCCTAAAACCCCCACAGAAACCCCTATTCTTCCATCAAATCTACATCTTAATCCTCACTTTCTTAGCCTACGCCTCTTTCCACGCTTCCCGCAAACCCCCAGCGTTGTAAAAAGCATCCTCAACCCACAATTCAATCAAATTCAAGCTCAACCGATTCTGGATGGGCTCTGTTTAACGGACCGGAAAGAACCCACCGGCTCGGTGAACTTGATCTTGCATTTTTATCATCATATGCCACAGAGTGTATTTTGCAGGACATGTAGGTGATAGGATTGATTTAAGGTTGTTTCTTGTATTTGGAATGATAGGTAGTGGCCTTTTTACGATAATTTTCGGGTTTGGTTATTGGTTTGATGTTCATTTATTGGGTTATTTTATGGGAGTTCAAGTTGTTTGTGGGGTTTTTCAATCTATAGGTTGGCCTTTTGTGGTCGCTGTTGTGGGAATTGGTTTGGGAAAGAGAAGAGAGGGTTGATTATGGGGATTTGGAATTCACATACTTTTGTTGGGAACATTATTGGTTCTGTTGTGGCTTCTGGGGTTTTGGAGTTTGGCTGGGGTTGGTCTTTTAGTTATTATAGTTGAGCTTTTGGTTCTTTGTTTTTTAGTTGCAAGACCTGATAATTTGGGGTTTGAGATGTAGGCGCCTGGGAAGGAGATTGAGCTGAATATGGAGGGAGAAAGTGTTGGGAATTTAGAAAAACAGGCTTCAGAGGCAGCAGGGCTGCTTGAGAACGAGGATTTTGATTCTTTGGCTGCCATTGGATTCTTGGAGGCTGGAGGTTGCCCTTCTGCCCGTTCTTTCCGAAGTAGGTGGCATATACATTTCTGTATTGATTACCCTTCTACATAAGGCACACAGGTACTTGTTATTATTTGATGTGATTATTATTACAAGATTAAATTTCGGTATTTTTAGGATATACACTAGAAAATTCCTACAGTAAGCAATCTCAATGAATGAGCCTTTGTGAAAGGGGGGCATAATTTATAATTGTCACTATTAATTTTAAGTTAAGAATTTCATATACTAATAAAACTCATCCTAGCATTATTTTTGGCAATAGCCTGAAATGCATTTAATAGCCTTATCACAGATTATTTTTTATAGGGTGATATGCTGTGGAGCCTGAGCATGCTTTAGATGTTTGAATCTATTATTGCTCTTTAAATAGCTAAAATAGCTTATATTTATCACAAATTCGTGTTAGACTTGCAGCTGTTGCGGGAGTGCTTTTGTCACATAAAACTGCTGGGATCCTTTCTACAATATTCGATATTGGAGGAGTCTTTGGTGGGGTGATGGCAGGTTTCATTTCAGATATCATTGAAGATCGAGCAGTTACTTCAGTTACTTTATTATTACTATCAATTCCAGCACTCATTTTGTACCGGGTTTATGGGATTGTCTCTGTGGTTACAATATTGCATTGAAGTTTCTCTCTGGGTTGCTAGTGAACGGCCCTTATTCACTAATCATTACAGCTGTTGCTGCTGATCTTGGTACCCAGAACTTGATTAAAGGTAACTCTCGTGCATTAGCTACAGTGACTGAAATCATAGATGGTACTGGCTCTGTTGGGGCGGCTCTTGGGCCCCTTTTGGCTGGGTATATCCACTGGGGGTTGGAATAGTGTATTCCTTATGCTTATTGTTGCTACATTCTTTGCTAGTTTGTTCTTGATTCGTGTTGCAAAAACCGAGATTGAAGCGATGGTAAAGGAGGGGAAAGCGCTCTGGAGTAGTTGACCGCAAGTTGATGCAGTTTTTCAGGGCATTAACTGTTATTGTCTTTTGTACCCATAGAAGATGACCTCAATAGGATACAACCTGTGATGTAAAAGTTTTTTGTTCACTATACCTATGGCTTATATTGTATCCCATTCTTTTAATAAACGGAAATCTTAAAATTCACTTATAGCTACAAAGATTTTTTTTTTTTTAGAATGAACTTCCTTCCGGTTTTTATGTATATATATACTAGAACTAAGTTTGTACTCTTAAAAATGCTCTTTATCTGTGTTCTAAAATCTTAGCTCTCATCTGCTCATCTTTTATAAGTAAGCGAACTGGGTTCGGAGCCAGGTGCTTTTGGCATCTTTTGTCTTGGTAAAGACGAAGATTAACAATGGAAACATTCATCTCTTGTTTTGTACAATAAAAAATGGTGTTAAAGATGATTTTTTTTTAAGAAAGATGGTGTTTGGCGCCTGTCGGCTAGGAGATGATTACCTAGATAAATATGTAACCAGATCAGAAATTGATCCTACATGTCTAAAGTTCATGAAACTTTGGAGGATTTCTTTTTACTGTCATGATATGTCACTATGTGTGATCATGCAAACATGTGCATGCAATCAGTCATTTCCGTGCTGGTATGCAATGCTAGATTTGGATGCATTTAGTGGCATAGCACGCATTGTATATCAACTCTTCATTTCCATGATGGTAGTCTCAAGTTGGATTCCCTAAGTAGCACAGATTATACTGCCCACTTTGTGGTCCTATCCTGTGCAATTCACTTGCAACCCCGATATCCCCTATCCATATGGGAAGATCCATTCAAGAACCATATTTAGCTTAAACAGGTGAGACAATAGCTGCTTCTCTGGTTAAGAAACAACCGTGAGAGTCAAGAGGATAACCAAAATGATGGCTATTAAACTGTCAAAAGTTCAATGTTAGTACTTTCAGGAGGATGACATTTGTCTGCAATAATACATTTAAAAAATAGAACAATAACAGAATTATTTCTATTTACAATCATCCATCCATGCCCCATATATACAATCAATTCTGTTCCTCAAATTACCCTCAAGCTCCATTAGAAGCCAATAAGAATGATTCAGAAAGAGAATCTAAAATCTATCAAATTATGAATCATAATCATAATTTGATTATTTCAAAATTTATTTGCTTTTATTGATGAATATATATACATAGGACGATCCTACCTGGACAGCCAAGCATAATCATTAACTAGTTCTCTCCCTCGTCTACCAAGTATTGAATGGAAAGAATATATAGAATTTTATCCTTCTAACAGGCACTTGAGACTATGAAGCCCCTCGGCAGAAATACTTCTCCTGACACTTGCCCGTTGTATGATAGAAGGGGGAGGCGGCTCCAAGTGAAAACTCACCAGAACAACTGTCAAATTGTCTGTTGCACCTCTTTTTTTTGCTTCTTCAACTATTAATTTGCAGCACAACTTCACATCATTGTGCTCCTGGAGTCGCCTCCTTGTAAAATCTATGGCATTTTGGCTGGAAAAAACATCCCATATTCCATCACTACCGATGATCAAAAACTCATCTTCCTTGGTCAATATTATCATTTTGATTTCTGGTTCAGCACTTAGGGGGCCAATTCTCTCGCCCGTTTCCTTCATACCTTCAAGGTGCCAATCGCCTATCGCCCGGGTGACACCCAGTTGACCATTCAGATAACCATCATCAATGGATCCACCCAGAGATTCAACTCGTCTCCTCTCTTCCATGCAACAAGGCCTATGATCCTTCGACATCTCTGTAGCTATTCCACGCCTTGATAGTACTGCCCTAGAATCCCCAGCATTTGCCACAAGTAAAGACCTGTCAAAGATAAGATCATCCTTTCAGGCAAAGCAAAAACCATATATGTTGATTCAAACATATATTAAAAACAAATTACAAAATGTCCAGATTATGCACACTAATAAATCTCTTGGATTGATTCACTTCTCCAAACATACACTGAATTGTGTAATGTCACCTTTCTCAATGTCTCTCTTCATTTTGTTAGTTGCCAACCAGAAAAATGAAAAAAAAAAAAAAAAAAAGATGAAGAAGAAGAAAGAAGGGGCAGAAAAAAGCACAGTAAGGCCAACCAGAAAACTTCAGAAGTGCTTACCTCCCAGATATCATTGCAGTGATAGCAGTAGTGCCAGAAGCCAGGGTAGACTTTGCAAATGCAGCATCAGTCTCCATGAACGACCTGGTGACAACTTTCTCAAGTTCTAAGGGAAACTCAGCATCCTCAACAATAACTCTAGGCAAATGATCACGGACAAATTGAGATGCATCCTGTCCTCCATGCCCATCAAAAACCTGTTGTTTTTTATGTCAAAAAAGAGGATGCTTATGTATGCTTGTGAGTTTATTTTTCTCTGATACTTTATTTATCATAAAGTGATTTGAGAGCATTAGTTTTGGGACAAAACGAGTTTCTAATCTAACAGTTAGCTATTAGGTTAAAGGTCATATTTAAATAGAACATAAGTAGACAAGATCTCCATCAAGAGCGTCAAATACCCTTTGTATATTTTCTTTTTTAACAACTCTTCATCAAATTCATCTTGTCTCATTTCTGTTTTATCATCCTTGCTTTGCATAGATTATAGTGCTAAACTAAGAACATAACACAAAAAGAAGACAATACCACTAGCATCTGATGGCTCCAAAGTTGAAAGATTAAACTGATGGCTGACTCAATTCATGTTAGGTTTATATGCTAAGAAAAATTTTATGCTTTTGTTCAGGAATTTGTTGCTTTCAGGTTCATCCAAAATTATTACTGCGAATTTTAAGATGGCTTATGTTAAGAAGCAGCAGCAGTAACTTCCAATCATTTGTTAGAAGCTATAGTTTCCAGCGTTTTTTGTGCATCCAGAGAATAACGTTTAAAAATAAGTAGATGAGATGACTTCAGAGATGACAGAGTTTATTTGTCTTTCCAATTAAGTCAGCTACATGAAAGTAGCTTATCTGAATTATTGCAAGATAACAACTGTATAAAGGTTCTATTCCTAGATCAAAATTTGAACAAGAGTATTTAAATTATCTCCATATTATAAAATAAATCACAAATGCATAAGAATAAGATAGCATAAAGGCAGAGATGTTGGAAAATCAAACAGGACAATATATAGAAAAAAGGATGGTTTATAAACTTACACCATAGAAGGAAACAGCTTCTTCGCTCATTAAATTACAACCAAAATTCTTAGCCAAGTCCGCAATGCATATATGAGTATCCTCCATATAGGGACGACCCCCAATATCAGACCACTCTCCTGACCGAAGAGTGGGAACAAAATTTGTCAACAAGTCATGTTTTCTGTCTGTGGCAACTGCATCTTCAGAAATGCATTCCAGCTGAATGAAACACAAACGAGAACGAGCCTATCAGAAAAATACCATAAAAGAAACCTGCAGAAAGGCATTGTCAAGGAAGTGAGGGTAATAAATGAACTTAATCCTATCCAGATACAACTGCATAGGATATGAATGTGTTGATTTCACTAATTAATAGTTCCCCTAAGAGGTAAAACTTCACAAAAACAATGGCAAACTAGAAATTATAAATGCAGGATGCACACTTCTAAAATTGATTGCATTGGGAGGTGGCAGGCAGCACAGGTGAAGTTAAGAAGAGATAAAGCCTTAAACAAAGAATAATAGTGTAATAGCATGACTACCAATTCCATCGAGATATCACTCTCTAATTACCCACGGTCATGGGTTGATTGAAAACACTACAGAATATAACTCTAAATTATGAACATACTTCAACTATACTCCTAGTTAGACCCTAAATATCAGAGTGTATACTACTGAGTTCAACACCACTTGAGTGATGTTCAATATATTTGAACATTTTTGGAAGAAAGGTAGATCATAAGCTGGCATATCCTTTGCACAACATTTGGCTAAATCCTTGTATCTACAATCTGTCAGGAATTTTTCCCCTTAAAAAGAGTGTTGGCAAGGAACACCTTGTACCCCTGACATCAATTTATCTATTCCTTAAAAAGTCAAGAATAAGAAGTCTAATTTACATTTGTGTTGAATTGGTTCCAGAGCCAAACACAAAGATCACTCTTTATTTGATTTCATAGGTTACAATGTCAAAGAAGTCACTTCCTTTCTGTCCTAATATTATCAGAACACACTTCCAACTTATTCAAAAACTGAATATAAGTGAATATGCTATTATGAATACATGACAGATGAATCTGACACAAAACTGAATATAAGTAGCTGATGGAACTGGGATAATCCATCAAACATGCAATTATGAGTAGTGATCAAAGTGCCTACACAGGGAAGAAGGTATCAAAAGCTTAATGCAGGCAAGAACACATTTACAGCAACAAATTTCTCAACTTGAAGCAAAAGACTAACCAAAAAGACAAGCACCCAAAACAGAATTATAAGAAATTGTCTCACCAAAAGCAACTTTCCTTTAAAAAAAAAAAAAAAAAACAAAAATTATTTCAGGAAATGAAGTTGGATACTAACTTCATTGCTGCCACTGACCACAGCCGGGGGAGAGTCTTTATCAGCCCAATTCTCCATCTGGGAACAGAAGAAACCACCCCTACAAAGCAAAGGCCAAGGCTTTTTGTTGTTGCTGTCATCAAGTTCCTCCATTTCTTGGCTGACCTGCTCTGCATCTTTAACATACATGATGGTGACACTGTTGATAAGACAAGAAGGGGAAAATGGTAAATGTATATTTCAGCTTGCTTCTCAGCCAGTTGTTAAGCGTATCCAGGTAACAGGAGCCAAAAAAAAAAAGAAAAACAAAGAGAGAGATAAGAGAGAAAGAATCAAAAGGAAAATAATGGACTGGAGAGAAGATTCTTGACAATATATAGCATTGGTTGGGACTTTTTGTGAGATAAAAATGCCTTGCTTATTACTATTTGTGCTTATATATTATTATAATTATGATGTCAATGAAAATAACAATTCCAGATTTTTCTTATGAAAGTGTGGCTGAAAATCAGTTGTGTTGGCAAGGTTGGGTTTTCCTTAATTATTTTTGTCTTCTTTTCCTATAACTTTTTCCTTCTTTTTCAAATGCTGGCATCGTGGCTCAAAAATGTCTTCCCTCTAAAATTACCTGCCTGACCCTATCTTTTTTTCTTAAATATAATAAGTACATAATAAAATTTGTAGAGTTCATTATGTTTGTTAATAAAAATAGGAAGAAATAGAAGGAAAAGTTGGAGGAAAAAAACAATTTTGTCTCATTGATATAGAAATGAAATTTGAAGAGCCAAGACATAGATTTATTTCCATATTTCTATTCTTTCCAAATCCAATCTTTTGACTATTAAAAAGAAAACATTATTCTAATTAACAATTAATCATTTTAATCATAATTTTATTTTCAATTATATTTTTCATCTTTCATATCAAATATTGGTGTAAATTTTCATTTACAATCAACAAGATGTTATCTCCAAATATCTTAAACCCATTACCCTTTAAATTTTCATATAAATTTCTCTTTTTTTTATTGACATTTTGATCCAAAAAAATTTATCCAAATTTTGTTATACCTTTCATTTTCTTCAAACTGATATAATATTATTGAATTTTTTTTTTAAAAAAAAAAGTGGTTTGTTTGAACCTAAATTTGTAATTTTCTAACCCCTAAATGTTAGGTACCTAAATGTCAGACAAAAAACTAAAGTTCCACATATTATTGTTTATTGACTTGTTTTATAACAATGTGAAATTCATGCTGCTTAAGACTTTTTGCACTTTATTAAAATTTTAATGGGTCTCTGCTTTATTTTCTTTTTCTGAGTACACATATTTTTTTATTATAACACTTAACTAAAAGCTAGGAACTTTGGGAAAACATAATTTCCTCAAATTTTGAATATAATATTTTTTTTTCCTTGCCAGAAATGGAATTTCAAGAAAAGACGGTGTCTGAAAGGGCTAATGTAATTGCAATAATATTAGGGACAAATCTAATTTGTTTTTCCATAAATCATGGGGGTTTGTTTTATTTTAGTGTTAATAATTGATTCAAAAAGATTTAACAGTGAAGTTTTGGGCAATCGTATCCAAGCGTGAACTAGAAGACAAGGAATGGGGGAAGATGATGCAAAGAAAAATACAACAGAGATTTCTCTTTTGCTTTCCATAAAGCCAGTGACATCCAAAACAAAAAAAAAAAAAATCTTTGAAAAATAAAATATCTTCCTTGTATATATATATATATGTTCAAAGATTCAACATTGGGGTTGTACATTGTTGCCTTTGCACTAATGGTCACTAACCAAAAAGTTGCTTCTTTTCTTAGCCAATCATACTTGCCTTTTATTAGTAATGTAAATGTGAAGAATCTTACTTCCAATGATGAAAAACTTTGTTACTTTTGTATGGAAGATGGAAAAAAAAATTAATTTTATTGGGTAAAATGAAAATAAGATAAATTCGTTTAAATTTATTCATATAACTGTTTACAAAAAGTTTGGGTAATATAATTTTAATTAGCCATCGTAATTTTAATTAACCATCACGAACAAATATTCATTTTGTTCTTGAATACTTTTTTCCTTCTCCCAAATTTTGATTTTAGTATATATAATATTACATTTTTAATTTTTTTAATAAATTTGATATTTTATAATTTTTAATATCAAAAAAATAAAAAGTCATGAAAAATAATTTTATAATACAAAAAAGTAAAAAATTTTAAATGCTAAAATAACATAATTTTATAGATTAGAAAAGAAAAAATTAAAAAAAAAATGAAACAGAGTATAATTGTTTCACCTTGTAATCGAATGGTAAAATATAGCTGGTCTTAATATTCTTCTATTTTCTTTTTAAAAAAGTCAGAGCTTAGGAAAAAAAAAATTGGGCAGGGAGATAAATTACGCACGGTTGAAAATGCGAAGGAATCAGATTGTCGCTTTGACTACGTGGCATGATGTGATCCTACAGAGGATATGTTGCGTGTTACGGTTGCATCACTAATTATTTCTTCATTTGGATTGTCCTTGTCCTTAACCTTATTTCATTGTAAAAAGAGAAAAAAGGCTAAAGTGGCGTTCAAAGCAAGATTATCAATGCCGTAGTGGTGAATATTTCAGTTTTCTTATATTGTTCAGCATTCTCCGTCTATTTTGCAGCCAGGTTGACTTCACCACATCTACTTTGTTATTATTATTTTTTCTTGGTTTCCAGGGAGACAGACAGAGCCTTACAACAAGGAGAGAGGGGGGAGGCTGGGTCGAACCTCAGCCTTATGTCTTCTACTTTTATTATTATTTATTTGGATAATGGAGGTCATGATAACGTAACTAGAACGGCATAAACAACTAGAAATAGAAACTCATCAACAATACCAACTGCAGGACGCTGTTCTCTCCATTGGCAATAAAGTAAAAATATTATGACAGTTGCTGCAGTGAATGAAATTCTGTAAGCCTAAACAATGTCAAAAACCTTTTCAAACAAAGAGAAAATGAAAAGAAAGTGACTGCAGCAGGAAACCCCAAGCCCCGATGACTAAGCTAACTGAATTTGAATCAAACAACCTCAGATTCAATAACTTAATACTAAGTTCACATAGAACCAGTTTAACAACCACCACAACATTAGAAGTCGAATTTCCAGCAGAGTAGCATTACTTTGCTGAATTAATTGTCTTTATGTCCAATGTAAATTAATATCAATTGCACAACAGATGCCCACAGTATAATTTCCAGACAAGGCATCTGTCTTAAATTCCAGAAATTTCATCCATAATCTGAAGTAAGCAGTAAAGTTATTCTTGGAAAGCTGGATCATACTAATTAAGCAACAATTCAAGCCTATTTAAGAACGATACAATAGGGGGTATCTTCAAAATTTCAGATGTCCGTAATTTGATAGAAACCAAACAAAAAATGTAAAAGAAAACAAAAACAAAAAACAACTAGCAGCCAAAGATTCTTCAAATCTAGAGACAGTTCAAGAGCTTCTTAATGTCTTCTCCGTAAGTTCCTATAACACCGGACTGAAACAGAAAACTTTCAAACCTTACATTCCAGTGAAAGCTTTCTTCCCACCACCGGAAGATCCAGCAGGAATCACTTTCAGAACATTGAACCTCACAGTCTTTGACAATGGCCTGAAATTAGAAAATAATCGACACAAATTTACAAACAACCAAAATTGCCTATACCTAACTGTAAAAATGAGTAGATTCATAGAAAAATGTAAATAAAACCCTTCTCTTTAGAAGTTTTACCTGCATTGCCCAATAATGACATGATCCCCTTCCTTCACACGGAAGCATGGAGAAATATGTGCAGGAATGTTTGAATGCCTCTTCTCATACCTGAAAAAGAGAAATATTTCTTCAAAAAAAAAAAAAACCTTGACAAAATTACCATCCTCTTAATAAAAGTAAAGCAAAAATGACGCTGGATCATGCCTTTGGTATTTCTTGATATAATGAAGGTAATTCCGTCGAACAATGATTGTCCTCATCATCTTGGCACTATGGCAAGTACCAGCTAAGATGCGACCCCTGATGGAAACTGTGCCGGTGAATGGGCATTTCTTGTCGATGTAGGTTCCTTTAGGAAACAAATATGCAAAACATTATTAAATAATAACCAACAATCATAATCTGGATATCAACTGAATTCTAAAAGCTCAGAAACATATTACACATATTCCTTCCAAACATCAGACTCTTGGTGTTAATCAAGTAAACCATCCTTTCTTTCTTATATAGAGTTCATTTTCTTATGCAGCAAAACATTTTTTTTTTTGGTATGTTAGCATTATAAAGAGTTCATTTTCTGAAATTTCGGAGGAACGGTAACATAGAAATAAAGCAATCATTAATTAGCATGATGACCACAGTGCAATCATTAATTAGCATGATGACCGCATTCCAGCTACCTAAAGAAACCTTTACTCAGGTTAAGCTACTAAATGCAAGTAACACTCAAAACTTAAATAAATTTTACATAAACCGATCATCCATATCACCTAAAACACATACATCAATAGACATAATATTAAAGAAAAGGAAAAGCTAAAAGAAAACAAACCTTCAATAGCTTCACGAGGAGTTTTGAAGCCCAAACCAATGCTCTTCCAGAAGCGGTTCCCTCCCTTTCCCGGTCTCTTCCCTTTCCCAGATTTCTTCGAGCTGAAAACGATACAAAATCAATAAGTCCGCCTAAATGCAAAGTTCCAAGTAGGAAAAAGTAAAAAGATCAGAGATTTTTTTGTGGTAATGAATGTTAAAATTACCTTAAAAACACTTTGGGTTGCTTCAGAAATGCCTTCTCGGTCTGCAAACAAATAACGAACCAGAAATAAGAACCAAAGCAAACAGATATAAAGAGAGAGAGAGAAGGGATCTGAGTGTGAACCTGTTCGGCCATGGTTGATGAGCACTGTCGAGAGTGTGGCGCGGCTGCTGCTGCGGGCAAAAGGAAGTTAAAAATGAGAGAGGAAGCTATAAGAAACCCTAATCTTAACTAATAGCTAAGCTTTCATAAGGGATCAGTTATTTGGGCTACTTCAACAGTGACATACTAGTCCAAAACTCAACCCACGATAAGAAACGAACAACCGGAGAGTACAGCCCACTTTGTTGTGTTTTTAATGCATAGTTTATGGTTCATGGATAGACAGATATTTTTAAATATGAAACAATAAAATGATTAAAAATAATAAAAATAATAAATTTAAAAATATTATGATTTAAAATTTATAAAAAAATTATAAAAAAATTTAATAAATTTAAATATATATATATTTTTTTATCGATACGAATTATAATATATAATTTTTATATAAAATATAATATTACATATAAAATTAAAACACAATATAAATACATACAAATATATAAATTTTTAGATTTAATCATGGATACGTGACTTTGCAAATTTTCACGTAGTTTCTCAATTTTTATTTTCTAATTATTAAAACAATAAAAGTGATATAATTTGAAACTCAAATGACTATTTAACCTTTTTTTTTTTTACGAGAGAACACTATTACAAGAAAGTGATCTCACCTTCTTCTTACTTGAACTAAGTCCAGCTGATTGTATGAGAAATTTATTAAAATTGATCACATATGGCGTATGAGAAATTTATTAAAATTTGGTTTTCTTTCTTCAATTATTGACAATAGTTTAAAAAATATTAGATCTGACGTAAAATATATTGAAGATCCTTTTGTGGCTCTGTATCACTGTACGTAAAAATTAGAAGATTGTATAGAAAGTTGATTAATTTCGTTGTTTTAAATTGCCGACTGATAGCAGATATTTCTTTAAAATGATGAAATACCAATTATTCAAAAAAAGTTTTATTTATATATGATACAATCGTTGAGCTCAACACTCTTTGCAAAGTCAATAACATAGCAAATCTCCAAAGTCAAACCTCCTAGATCAGCAAATTAAAATAACTAAACCATCAACATGAAATGCAAGGCTTATGTCTTAATTACAATATCACACAGCAGCCTCCCTTGCGAGGTGGGCGAGTGCCATGGCGACGGCGATCGTGGCCGTGATGAGGAGGATCCCAAGGTGCATCTGGAGGATCCGAAGTATCTGGAGGATCCCAAGGTGCATCTGGAGGATCCGAAGGTGCATCTGGAGGTGACAGCGGTCCAGGGTGTGGATGATGTGGTCCATGCGGCGGCACATGGTGTGGATGATGAACTGGTGGATGATGAACTGGTGGATGATGGACTGTTGTATGATGGACTGGGGGATGATGAACTGGTGTATGATGGACTGGTGTATGATGGACTGGTGTATGATGAACTGGTGTATGATGAACTGGTGGATGATGAACTGGTGTATGATGGACTGGAGTATGGTCCATCTTCTTGTTGCAGCTACTTGGCCCTTTCTCTTTCCTTTCTTTTACTTTGACGTTGAGCAAAATTTTCGAGATAACCAACCAACATATATGGTGTTCACACCGGCATATGCGTACCAACTATCAATTACGAATCATATATGGAAAAAAATTAAAGGATATAAAAATTTCTTGAATTATAATTAAAAAATTATTTAAATTTTTATTTTTTTGTAATTAATCAATCTCTAATATTTATTTATATCAAATTAAGTATTTATTTGGATAAAAATTTAAATAATATCAATAAAATAAACAAAATTTATTACATATAATAATTAATATATATATAAATAAAATAAAATATTTTTTTCTTTTTCTTTTACTATTTTTTCTTTTGTGATCTCTAAAATCTTTTTAAGAATTTATTTATTGTAATTCGATATTATTTGATTTAATGTTTACATGATTAAAATTTGTCCGATTAAGGATTCAATTAAATTAAAATAAGAAATAAAAAATTTAATTGATTGTAATAAAATATTAAAAATTTACATAATTATTATATTATAATTAAAAATATTTTTATCTTTTAAATAAAAAAACAAAAGTTACTCACGTTCTGTTTTTTTTTTTTCTTTAATTATTATTCAAGATGTTTGTAACTTCATTTGTTGTTTTCTATTATGCTTTATGGTCATAAATCGACGGAGATTTATGACCAACGAGAATTTTGTAAATTTGTGAAAGAAAAGGGTAACCCAATTCCATCTCTTTGGTCAGTTCTCCAGTCGCCTTCTCCATCATAAATATTCAATTCTGTCCGCGTTGCTCAACTTTGCACGTGATCACGAACAGCCTGGAGCTTTTGGCTTTGCTCGATTGATTAATGAATGCAATACAAACAAACATTTATACTTTGTGGTACTCTCAATATTAGATTATGATTAGTGTTAAATTTATTATTAGAAAACACTGAAATTAAAGGACTAAGATCTGAAATATTCGAACAAAAAAAAATCTGAAATAAGTGTTTCCTTAATCAACATAAACGCCGCTGATATATCTGTAGCAAATAAGTTGAGTTTAATGCTTTTATTAATTAATTTTTACTTACAAAAACGAAATTTGCTGAAGATTGTAAGAATTTTGAGTAGGTGACAAATAGAAAAAAGGAACTTAAAATTTTCAATTGTTGAAGCTTGCAAGAAAAGACTTCGGAAATTTTCAATTGTTGAAGCTCGCAAGAAAAGACTTCGGCCCTTTGGAAGTGGAAGTTAACAGATAGGAAGGGCCATGGGCGAGAAAGGCTGCCTAACATGGGCTAGCGGAACTGCTGCTTGCCCCCAATCCTTTTGCTAACATGGGCTGGCGTTACCGTTTTTTGTCGAGTTATGTAAGCTGCTTGTTCACTTGTGATATATGTGTGTGTGTGTGAGTGTAGAGGAAGGGCCATGGGCGAGAAAGGCTGCCTAACATGGGCTAGCGGAACTGCTGGTTGCGCCCAATCCTTTTGCTAACATGGGCTGGCGTTACCGCTTCTTGTTCACTTGTGATATATATATGTGTGTGTGTGTGTGTGTCGGGGAAGGGCCATGGGCGAGAAAGGCTGCCTAACATGGGCAGGTTGCCCCCAATCCTTTTGCTAACATGGGCTGGCGTTACCGCCTCTTGTTCACTTGTGATATATATGTGTGTGTGTGTGTGAGAAGGCCTAACATGGGCTAGCGGAACTGCTGGTTGCCCCCAATCCTTTTGCTAACATGGGCTGGCGTTACCGCTTTTTTGTCGAGTTATGTAAGCTGCTTGTTCACCAAGGGAAGCTTAAAAGTAAAAATTTTTTGCTAAGCATACATATCCGAGTATGTTGATTCTCAATCTTGGAAAACAAATTTTATTTAAAAAAAGTGTATATGACAAGTATTGTGAAAAAATACTGAGAAATTATGGTTTAAAATTTTAGAATATTTGGCATTGCTATGAAAAATTGTTGTGAGAGAATAAAGTGTTTCCAATGAACATGATGTGAAAAAATAATGAATGACTTATTTTTAACATTATTTGAGTAAATTAATATTAAGATATATAAAAGAATAAATTATTTAAAATTTAATCTTGATAAAAAAATATATTTACTTGAATATAGAGATTTACTTCCCAAAGCTGAATAGTTATATATATATATATATTATACAAATATATAGTTTTGCAATTAATAAATTATTTAATGATTATTTAATTATTTAATAAGCATTTTGAATTAACAATATATTATATTATTTAAAAGAGTTTACAGCTTTGATTAAGTTTTTATTATTTTCTTAATTGTTACAATTATAATCAAATATTATAATTATATAATTAACTATTGTAATATAATTAAGTTTCAGTCATTGAATAATCAACAAATAAGTTAGAACATAATTGGACAATCAAATCCACATATAGTGGAATTTGATCCCAAGATCTTCAAATTCTAGAACTTTCTTCTTGTCATTAAATTTTACTTAGTTACTTAGTAAGCTTAATTAAAAGACTTTCACCTTTAAAAATTTAGACTTACTCAAAGCTGAAAATAAAAGCATGTGACAAAATAGAAAAAGCTACCAGATGAGTGCATGTAATATTGTCCATTAGAAAAAAAAAAGTTATCAAGCCAAATTCCGCCAACTCTAGCCAACTAAAACAAATTAGAAAAGCCAAACTTGAGAATTTCAAGTGTTAATAATCATGTTCTTAATTGGATGTTAGGATGCCAAATTTAACACCTTAATTTTCTTTTCTCTTATGTGTGTGTGTGTGTGTTTTTTTTTTTTTTTGCAAGTTTGAAGTTTCAAGAAATCATGAGTGGTTATCAACCAACATTTAGCATTTTCAGGATAGTAGAATAATGTCCAACTGCAAATTACACATGAGAAGACTAGAAAAAGCCTTCAACCTAATATAAAAAATAATTTTTAAAGAACAACAAGAACAAGAAGAGTTAAATTCTTTTAAGCTTTTCAAACTTTTCTTTAATTTAGTTTAGCTTGGTTCTTAGTTTTTTAGTTTCAACCATCAAATTTGTAAATTCCTTACCTCTCTTGTAGTTAACAGAAGTGAGAACCTTTACATCGTTTAATCAATGTCAGATTGCTAAACTTACATTTGAAAATTGTCTCAACACTTATATATTAGTAAATGATCATATCACATACTTAATTTGTCAAACACTTTCTGCTTTTTAACTCCAAAGAGGCATAATTCAAGCACCTTTGCATTTAATTTCACTAGGCATGAGCAGTAGCACTGCAACCGATGGTTTCACTCACGAAAAACATTTTATGAAGGCCTTATGATCAGGTTAAAGAAGCTCAAATTAATTTGTAGTAAGCATTTTGATAATTTTATACCATGGGGATATGTGTTACAGGAAAAAAAGGAAAACGAACCCCACGAAAAGAATGATGTGCAGTGAAAAGCAGAGGACATCGTGTAGTGTAGATATGGAACTACTCCCATATATAATTTATTTGATTAACATACATAGAAGATAGAACTTAGAAAAACATCAGTACAAAGATCAAGTCAGGCTTCCCACTTTTCACGGCATACCTCAAAAAACACATGATACAAGTAATGTAAGGGCATAGTTCTTATCTGATCAAGCACTTGATGA